CAGACTGAACTGTACTACTTATACCAGAATTACTGATGCACTAACCAAAGCCTAAGTCCCAGACTGACAAGAGGACATAAACACCCTGAACCCAAACCCTGGCATCAGCCTGATACCCAAACCCTGATTATAGTGCAAGCTTTTAAACTTGAGCTTCAGCTGGATCCTGTGTATTTTTCATTCTTACTAAATCCTATCCATAGACGAACATGTAATATCAACAATCTAAAAAACATGTTGACACTCAATTCTAAATCTTTCTTCATAGAAAGACTTAGCCTAGTTAACCCTCAAACTCTGGTAAAAGTTCAATCAGATATTATCACCTCCAGCACTAAGTAAACACAAATTCTACACAGTTCTAAGAGGGACCACTACCTCCACACTCAACTCTGAAAATCCCCAAACTGACATACTTATACAGGTCATACTGACAAGCCCTACTCTGGCAACAGGATGAGGATCAACACTGGCCACTTTAACTTAGCTCCATAGATTATTCCTGATATCACCTAAAGACAGAATTTTGACACTGGCTAAAGTCATAAATCACACCTTGAGCTTGCTTGATCAAATATGTATCCACAATTCTGTTTATATTCATATTGAAATTCTGGCGACAAACTATACCCTAATGTTGTCCATAAAGGAACTACTAATGGTAGTCTGAAACAAAGCTCTAGGGAAGTCCTAATGGTCTGGGTAAAATATAAGTGTCTCTCAAAGGTCCATATATAGGGCTAGGGATATAGCTCAGTTGGTAGAGTGCTTGCCGTGCATGTACAAGGCCCTGGGTTCAATCCCCAGCACCATTGGCACCAAAGGTGGCAGTACTGGGAGGTATTGTGGACCTTTTAGAAGTGGGGCCTTAGGGGGGGATCTTTAGGTCATTGAGTGCATGCCCTTAAAAGAGATTGTGAAACCCTGCCCAGCCTCCCACTGTGTGCTTCCTAACTTAAGATGGGATTACTCACTTTAACAATCACTACCAACATTGGTATCTGGTGCCTTGCCAGAGGCCCTAACCAATGGGGTTGTCTGCTCTTGGGCTTGAACTTTCAAAACTGTGAGGTAAACAAGCCATTTCTTTTTATTAAGTTAGTTGCCTCAGAAATTTCACTGTAGTAACACAAAGCTGATAATATAGGCATATCATAGGTACTGTCCTAATATGGCAACAGACTGAATACCTGACACTGACAGTACCAGAGCATTGCCTACAGACTTAATTATTGGACCGATAATAAACTCTAATCAGAAACTAATTAAAACTTAACCTGATGAAATTCTAAGTGTAAATTCTGTTCATATTCTTACATAGACTTTCCCTAAGCAGGAAAACCAGCATGAACACTAACTTTGGGCAAAGTCACTATTCTAGCTTTATTGAATCCCATGTCTAGAATTAAAAGTGATTCCAAAATTGACCAAAAACTAAATTCAAACCCTAATCCCAGCTATAGTCTGCTAAGGTCAGTCCACAGACTGAGTCCTAACACAGATCTTAGAATGAGACCTTTTTCTACATGAAGAGAAAATCCTAATACTGGCTAAAATTTGAGCTCAAATTTTACACATTGACTTCAGGATGAGGTATAATCTAGGCTACTCTGCACTAATTGGCAGTCTTAGCATGAATTTAACAGTGATCAGAAATACACTCTGGTCCATGCTACACATTGAACCATAGCTATAATTCTGGGGCCTAACATGATATGGGGCTAAGTCCTAAACACGGTTTAATGGGCCAGTAACCATGGATCTACTCTGGCCTCTAAAGATAGCTACAGACTGACTAAGCCTTAACCTGAGCAAAGAATGAAGCCAAACACATCCCACATTATAAACCTGAACCCTAGCCATGACCTGAGCACCACACTGGCTTTGGAGAGAGCTCAAAACTTGATCTATTTACTTATAGTTGTTTAAAATTAGTGTCTTGTAAATAGCAGAAAGATCAGTAGAGGAGAGGGAAGTGAACAAGGGGGAGGGAAGAGAAAAGGGGAAATACTGGGGACTGAATTAGAACAAATTATATTCTAAGCTTTTATTATTATGTCAAAATGAATCCTATTGTCATATATGACTAAAGAGAACCAAAACCAAAAATCTTATATGGGTGATTCTTACAAAAATTGATCTGTTAATAAGATCTCTAAATCCAGCTAAAATGGTTTATCCTGGGCCACTATTTCACAAATTCACCTTAGTATACAATAATGAATCAAATATTACCTTTGTATGTATGCACACACATATTCCAATAAGCTATTCAGAAATATTAGTTGTCATAGCTATGTATTTTAATTACTTACCTTGCTTGTTGATGGTTTCTCCCTATTAGAATAGAACCTCCAAAGGGAAGGTTGTGAGGGTTGTGTTTGTGTTTCTCACATTTCTATTTTCAGGATCTAGAATCATGCCTGTTATATTATAGGAATATTAAACACCTGTTGAATGCATGAACGAATGCTTCCTTATTATTCTTCTGTTCTTCTGCTACTTAGCCACTCTGTTCTATATTCTAATAATTTCGCTTTGTTTTCTCTTGGTTCATCTATCTAGGCATTCCTTCTCAGTACCTTTGAAGGCAATCTACCACTACCAGCTACTTGAATATTGTTATTGTCTTGGGTTATAGATTTAATCTTTGTCTTTTTTTTGAGAGAGAGAGAGAGAGAGAGAAAGAGAGAGAGAATTTTAATATTTATTTTTTAGTTTTCGGCAGACACAACATCTTTATTTGTATGTGGTGCTGAGGATCAAACCCGGGCCGCACACATGCCAGGCGAGCGCGCTACTGCTTGAGCCAAATCCCCAGCCCTAATCTTTGTCTTTTAAAAAATATTTTTCTTGGGTTGGGGGTAAAGCTCAGTGGTAGAATGCTTGCCTAACATGTGTAAGGCCTTAGCTTTGACCCCTAGTCCTGCCAAAAAATGTTTTTTTTCTAAATATTCTCTAAGTGAAATTTAATACATTTTTACTTATTTAATTGCCATCTATATACTGATGTCTCCTAAATATTTAGTTCCAACTAAGGCCTCTCTTCTGAGCTTCAAACCCATGTTTCTCAGCATCCTGTTAGGCATCTCCACCCACGTTTCACCAACTCTTCAAATTTTAAATGTCCAAAACTGATTTCTTCCCATCCTTCAGAAAATATACTGTTCTTTCTGGGTTCAGTATCTCAGTGAATGGCACTACCGTATATTTAGTCTTCCAAGTCAGAACTTGCGAGTCATTATGGACTCCTTCCTTTCCTTTCCTTCCTATATCTTCTAACTCCACCTGACATTCTTTTGCTTAAAACACTTTGAATCCATTGATGGTCCTCTAGCACTTCCTAGTTAAAGTTTGAATTTGTTGACATGACCCTCTATCCCTGCTTGATCTAGTTTCTGCAATATGGATTTTTCTGTTTGTTTGTTGCACTCTCTCATGCCCTTATGTTTTTTATGTGCTCTTATAGATAATGATTGACTTCTTTTTCTCATATATGACAAAATATCTTACTGATTATTGAAGTCTATTTTCAGGCATGGCCTCTTTCAGAAGTGGAATCTACATAGGTATCTACCTATGTAGATATCTTTTGAGCACCTTGCCCATTTTATACTCTTCTATCCCCCTCCCCACACATTGTGAGTTATTTGAGAGCAGAGACTTTCCCCCCAATGTTGTAGCAATAATGCCCAGCTCAAAACCTTGCACAATGCAGTTTGTTGAATAAATGGTTGTATCTATTAAATCCTCTTTCTCCTTCACTTCTCTTTCTGAAACCACAGGTGATTTACCTTAGCAAAATTCAATTCCTCCTTCTTTTCCTTCATCCCATTTATAAATAAAAAGTTGTTCTTACCAGGGAAGTTATAGTAATTGAGCTCTAATGATTCATCAAGCTACACGAATTTGTCTCCAATAAAAAAGTTAAATTAGCCTTAATAAACAACCATTTTCCTCAACCTTTAAATCACTTGAAAGTGTTTTGCATTCCTACCTATTCTTAGTCCAACTCTGATGACATATTTTTACTCAAAACTAGTTTCTTAAAGACATATCAAATTTGTTATTATTTAAGTGTAATGTTTATCTGTTCTAAACTATTATACTGCACTGCTGTATGAGGTGCCTGGGTCTTCACCTTAACATAATGTATCTACATTTTTAAAGTTAAATGGGCTTTTTCTGGGCTGGCCTAGATTATATTTCTATGTCAGAATTCTGACACTGTTTCTAAAAGGAAAGCATGGTTATTAATTAGTAACAAATATACAATTTTCCAAGCATTTAAAGTGATTCTAATGAAGGTGGTTCACACAGATCAAACTCTGACAGTTTTAAAGGACCATATCTTCCTCTCAGTTAAAATTCTAAGCTTATCAGAGCATAAATAATGTTTTTTTTTTAAGCACTGAAAATTCGGGGCTGGGGTTGTGGCTCAGCGGGGGAGCACTCGCCTAGCACGTATAAGTTCCTGGGTTCAATCCTCAGCACTAAATATAAATAAATAAATAAAAACAAAAGTACTGTGTCCAACTAAAACTGAAAAAAAATATTAAAAAAAACACTCAAAATTCAACAAGAATGTCAAAACTATATTAAAGTACTTTTCCCCAAATACTAATAGCTTAAGAGCATTAAAATAAATCTAGAGCCTTTGTCTGCCCCCGCAAGCAGAACCTCATATCTTAAGACAGAAACTGTTAGTACAGTGCACTCCAAACTACAACACCCATAATACCCTCCTAGGTCTGAACTCCAAAGACAAGCGGAAGCGGGGAGGGGCTAGGAATTGTGGGTACACGGAAAAGTGGGTCTCGACTCGATCTCCCACAATCCTTTTATACTTGCGTCTCTCCGCCAATGCCAGTATTGGATTCCCCCCCCCTCCCAGGAAGAACAGCCTCCAGCGACCTCAAACTACAATTCCCATGAGGACAAGGGTTTGGTCCCCAGGCTTCCCTGGTGACCAATAACCAATAGGAGGTGGCCCAACGGCCGCTGTGTAGGTGAGAGTACAGCCTTGGGCCGTAGCGCGGGGCCTAGGCGGGCTAACGCGAGACGCGGAGTGGAGAAGACACTTGTACTGCGTGGGGCGCGGTGAGGGCACTCAAGCCCTGGACCTGCCGCGCCCGCTCGATTTTCCTCGGCTGTTTAAGGAGTAGCGCTTCGGTAGCCGGGGAGCTGGAGGTCAGAGAGGCAGAAAGCCCGATGGCTGTGACTGGGGACTGTGGGACTGAAGGGGCCTAAAAGGAGGGTGCTTCCGGGGCCCATGTCTTCAGTGCCTAACTCCGCCCAGCTCCGCCTCTGCAGGGGAGGGGGTGTCGGCACAGGGAGGAGGGGGTGAGGATCAGTAACCTGAAGTCTGGGGAGCGCACCCGCGCTCTTTCCTCCGCTTCAACTTGCCTACCTTCTTTGTCCATCACAAAGCGGTCAGGGTCCCGCTCCCACCCCGCTACCCTGATTTTTGCCTCTCAAGAGGACCAAAGTTAGGGTTCGTGACAGGGTCTTCCCTAGGCGGCGTTTAGACTCTTTAGTACTGCTTACAGGAGTTGAGTGACCGCTTGCCTGAATTGCAGTTCAAGTTTGGGCATCCACCCCTCCCAATGCAAACATTCCCCATTTTCTCTGGGGGTGTGGGAATTCTTTGCTATGCCCGAGACGTAACTTTCTGTCAAATTTCTCTTTCTACCTCGGTGGTGGGATTAAAAAAAGATCGCCATGTCTTTACCGACCCTTCCAGCCACCCACCCCTTCCCTAACCAGGACTTTGGAGTGGAAAGGGTTTCCCTTCAGTATCCAGAAGGGACAGGGAACTGACATCGGAAGGAATCTTGCTTTAAAGAAATAATGTGTTGAATGTTCAGTGCAGTATTCCTGGGAGAGTGAAAGGCAAATTAGACCTATTTAAAAACCCCAGGGGTTTAGAGGTTTCCAGCAAAGACCGATAGCACTAATGTTGATGAACATTTAGGGGCACACAAACTTCAGAATAGAGTGACTGTGTGAAACAGACTGTATTCATTATTGTATTGTTACAAACGCAAAAAGTGCTGAGGGGCTAGTGAAAGGACATACTGATAGGGGTTGTGGGGTTAATTTATGGGAGTTCAAGCATAACCCAGGAAATGCTGAAACCTTGAAACTCAACTGTCTTTCAGAACAATCCTGGTAGGCTTTTTGAAGGAGGTTAATTTTAATTTGGGCTTCAAAGGAGAAAAGGGGATTTGAAATGAGCAGAGGAGAGAGACAATGCTTCCTGCTACTGGGGTTGGAGTTTAAGAAAAAGGGATAGAAGAGGGGTCTTTGTGTGACAGGTGGGCTTGCCAGATTGAAGTAAGAGGTGTCAGCAGGAATATATTGGGAAATAGTGTTGAAAAACTTGGGATCATAATAACATGGCACTTTGAAGAATCCACATAGTTTGGATATTATTCTGTATCAAATAAAATTAAAGACAAAAAAACTAAGATTGGGTGATTTTTCTTTTCATCCTAGGGGAACCTGATTTGAAATCAATTCTTGAAGAACACAAAGAAGTGTGGTGGTATGTTCCAGGTGTGAGTTTAATTTAAATCTAAGAAGAAGCTTGTCTTAGAGACATTTTGTTGGTGGCTATTCTTAGCTACAATCTGTAGTTCAAATCAATTTGAAAGCTGGGTGACATAAATTTATTTTCTTAAGACATGCATTTTCTTTCCTTCTTCAGCAGATTACCTGAAATGTATTCTTCTCATTGGGTGACAATAATGACTGCTATTTATTGAACCCATATAATGTCCCAGACATCATCATAAAGTACTTGTTACATTATCTTAAGTGTCTTACAATGTGTGTACTATTCCAGTTTTTTTTCCTAGAAGAAAAACTTAGTGTCACATAGAATATAAGGAGCTAGTTGGGGTTGTAGTGTATAGATTTCTGACTCTAAAGTCAATGCTCTTCCTGATCATGGTTTGCTCTGCCTGATCTTCTTCTTCTTCTTCCTCCTCCTCCTCTTCCTCCTCTTCTTCCTCTTCTTCCTCTTCTTCCTCTTCTTCTTCTTCTTCTTGAATTTTCATTTGTGGTAGAGAGATTATTATGAAGTATAGTTGATAATCCTGGCAGAAATCCAAATGATTCACTTTGAATTTCTATCAGAATGTATCTGCTGTAAAGTAGCTGCCAAAATCAAATTAGCTTAACTACTATTGCAACCATAGCTAATTGTGTCTGCCAAAACTATAGTCAGTATGGCTATTTCTGAATTAGATGATTCTCTTTATAAAATATGTCATGCCTCTGAGCGATTTAGGCCTGGACAGCATTTTGGGTTTTATTTTATTTTAGCTTTTATTTATTTATTTAAATATTATTTTAGTTGTTGATGGACCTTTATTTGCTTATTTATATGTGGTTCTGGGAATCGGACGTAGTGCCTCACACGTACAAGGCAAGCGCTCCACTGCTGAGCTACAACTCCAGCCCCTTGTTTTAGCCATTAAAAAAAAGTGACCTGGGTGATTAGATCACCTCCATGACCTCTACCCAAACAAATTGTTGGAGGTACTACAAAGTACAAAGTATGAGCTCTCTCTGGGTCTAGTTGGGGAGATAGGTGCCCACAATTCTTAGGGGTCAGTATGTGGCTGTATAAGAGTAGGACATATTTGTTAAACATTGAGAAATTCAGCATGGCTGGATGAAGATTATCTGGGAGAAGCAAGGTATAATGGTAGAAGAATCTGGAAAGATACATCAGGGCTGATTTGTGAAGAATCAAATGCAATGCTAAGAAGTTTGGGTATGGCCCCCTAGGCCCAGCAGCTCACCAAATGTGGGCATCTGCAAGTGGTGGTTACATTATATTTTTACAAACATTTTAAATTTTATTAGTTTTATATTTAAATGTAACTTTTAAAAGATAAATAGAATGAAGGTTAGTTAGGATCTGATTTAATAAAAATAGAAAATTAATCAATCTTAAGGTGAATATGGTAAAAATCACAGTTATATTCAAATAGTCAAAATGTGATAAATACTGTTTATACATAGGCAACCAAAAAAACATGAAAGTGTTTTGGAAGAGGGGTTCCATGATCATATTTTCCCATTTGAATGATGTCAGTAGGAAGGATGCCTGGAGGGAGACATGACCATTTTAGGAGGTGGGTGCTCTGTTCTATAGAGATGATAAGGATCTGAGAGTAGTGGCACATGAGAACAGAAACAGATTTGAGAAACATTTAGGAGACAGCATTAGTAGGACTTGGTAGATGTGAATAGTATCATATGGGTGTCAACAGAATTTGTTTTAGAAGTCCTTATGTACCACTTGTCTGTTATCTTTTTTATTCTACAATAAGCATAATATTACCAAAACATGCTATGTTTATATGTGCATTGATGTAACAGTGGAGGCTATTTTCACTGTTTAAGAGTTTATTTTGATTATACATAATCATTCTTCCTGTCTTATTGAGTATTCTTGAGAGCAGTGGATCATGTATTCAAGACACTGATAAAGAATATGAATATGATATGTTACCCCTCACCACACTCATGTGAATGCACACACAAAGCAAGATTAGGCTTCTGGTTTCCACAGGACCCTACACTTACCTCTATTCCAGCTTGCACCATACTGTGTCTGTTTGTATGGATGTTTCTGTCTCTTCCACTAGACTGTGAGCTCCTTGAGGGCAGGGACCAGGTTTCATTCATCTCCATACAAGTAGCATCCAGAAACAGCATTTGGCATATAGTAGATAAGGACAATGGGCAGCTGTGAACTATTTTATTTAGAGGCCACATAAGTTCAGATTTGTGATTTATAAAAATCATTTTGTTAGTATTGGTGGAAAATGGATTAGAAGAGAGGCAGTGATTATTGGATGTAAAGAATGGACCAACGTAGTCACATGAATATAATTCAGGCCCTTGGTAGCACAGAGAACCAAATATCATGAGAAGATTACTTGTTAGCTACATTTAGTACTCTTGCTGAATAAAGTAGTAAATAAAATGTCCGTGATTTCATTAGTTAATTTTCTTATTTTTTTCCACTCTTCCTTGGTTATCTTACATTTTTTTCCCACAATTTACACTTGTTAGGTCTGCCCATTGCTTTGCTCCTTTTGACAAGTTCATGTTGTTCTTGCCCCAATACTTTGCCAGGAAACACTCCTCCTCTTTACACAAGATTCCATTCTAGGAATCACTCTCAAATCCATCTCCTCCTAGTCAGAGACACTGCTAGTGGAACAGAATTTGATAAAGCCCTTCTGGAGAACAATTTGTCAAATTATCAGAAATAACCTACCATTCAATTTCTAGGGCTCTGTTTTGAAGAAATAATCACAATGTTTCCAAAAATTTTGCTCCCAGCATGTCTTTTCCAGAGTTGTTTATAATAATGGCAAACAGAAAAGAAGAAAAAAAAAGAACATCTTAAATGTCCAATACTAGGGGTTAGAATGAAACCAATTGTGGTTCATCTATAGAATGAATTTTTAAGTAGCTATGTAGGTTCATATTACAAGTATATTTAATGATATGGAAATTTGTTTATAATATGTTAAGACAAAATTCAGGTCATAAAACTGTCAGTCCAGAGTGGTAGATTCCAGTTTCAATACATGCACATATCCCACACACACCACACACATCTGTGTATACACAGAAAAAATTCCTGAAGTGTTGAGTACACACAAAAATATTAATAAGGGTTTGTTATAAAAGGTAAGATTATGTATGACTTCTATTTTAACCTTTTGCATATTTTAATTGTCTAATATTTTACAATTATATATTTGTTATTTGTTATTTTTTTAAGAGAGAGAGAGAGCGAGAAAGAAAGAATTTTAATATTTATTTTTTAGTTTTCGGCGGACACAACATCTTTGTTTTTTGTATGTGGTGCTGAGGATCGAACCCAGGCCACATGCATGCCAGGCAAGCGCGCTACCGCTTAAGCCACATCCCCAGCCCCAATATTTGTTATTTTTTTAAATTATCTATTTTTTTCCCTGTGCTACCCCTATTTCCATTGCCTTAATGTAGGTCATATGTAGGCATCACATCTAGCTTGGTTTACCATTGGCTCCAGCCTGCCTCCCTTCTAATCCATTTTCCACCAATACTGACAAAATGATTTTTATAAATCACAAATCTGAACTTATGTGGCCTCTAAATAAAATAGTTCACGGCTGCCCATTGTCCTTAGGATAATATCCAAACTTCTTAAACTGGCTTATAAAACCTTTGAAAATGAGCTCCCTGCTTTCCTATCCAGCATCAGTTTTTCCTCCTACAATTTATCTTGGGATCTGATGCCAGTGCCAAACACATAACAGGCATTTAGTTCATGTTAGCTAAATGCTGATGTGAATTATATGAGTTAACATTTGTGTGCCAGGCAATCTACTGGTATTTAATTTACTCCTCAGAATAAAAATATTAAATACATATAATAGTTTTTCCTATTTTACAAATGAGGAAGACTGATTTCATTAAGTAAAACTAAGAAAAGTTATCATAATAAAGAGCATTGTTTTAAGAAAAAGATCAAAGTCCCCTGCTGTACCTCAGCAATCTTCATTTTCCTACAATCCCTGCTGGTCTTTGTCAGCATGAATACAGATTTTGTACATTCCCTTGGGTAAGTTATATGTGACCACAATATAACAAGAACAGCCTCAGACTGACACAATCTTACCATGTTATGGATCACATTGTGCTAACATACAAAAATCATTCCTTTGTGTATGTAACACTTCATGCAAGAGAGATGGACTAGCTCCAATTGCTGAGTTTTTCTTTTGGTTTTGAGATTCTGTATTGGGATGGGGATGTCAGCAAAGAGCTACAGAAAACTGTGATAGAATTGAATGTACAGGAAACAATGTGTCTCATGGGAGCTGATGTCATTGGTTAATTTATTTTTTAAAATGTCATGTAGATGTATTTTTCAGGAATCTGTCCCCAGAGAAGACCTTGGTTGAATTCCACAGTTAATCCTATTTACAGAATACAGCCCATGTGTGCACTATATTCTTGCATTGTTAAGTGATCTTACACATATGTAGTGGATTACCATAATGGCATACAATTGAATGAATGTAGGATATCATATTTTCTCTACAGAAGTGTATCAGTGAACATATTGTTACTTAGGACCCTAAAGTGTGATCTTTCCTTCATTTTCCTCACAGATAGTATCCGTTTTAATTATAAAAATTAAATGACCTCTAAAGGACAGAAGTTCTAAGCGTGAATCATCTGAATAAACTGATATTATTTCTTAAGAAATTATCCCTTTTAAATACTCTAAAAGAATCTGTGGTTCTCCTGTTCCATGAACAAATCAGTGGAATATAGAAATCATAATTAGGGGGGCTGGGGATGTGGCTCAAGCGGTAGCGCGCTCGCCTGGCATGCGTGCGGCCCGGGTTCGATCCTCAGCACCACATACAAACAAAGATGTTGTGTCCGCCGAGAACTAAAAAATAAATATTAAAAAAAATCATAATTAGGGTTTCAAATCATTCTATAAATTATTGTAGGCTTACTATGTGAAA